TAGTAAAATAGAAACAGAATAAACCATCAGAAAATCCCAGCTTCAAACCTTGCCTCTGCCATGAACTTACTGGGTGGATTTGGCTGTATCACTTTCTCCTTACCTTTGCCTACTGCCCCATTTGTTGAATGGGTTTTAATAGTACTGGCACATGTTACAGGATTAATGGCAGTGAAATGTTGTATAGGATGAGTTTTGCACACTCTGATAGTGGAGCGTCAAGACGGTATTAAATATTAATCCACTGTACTGAATAGAGATTTGGAAGAGCACATGGGGAAGCAAATGATTGCTTAGCAACCCTGAGAGGTGGACTGAAATTCCTTCACCTTTGATCTTGCTGAAAGTAAACTGTCAGCTATGTCAGGTCTCTGGAAGCTATCTGGATGCTATGGAAAAGTGGATGCAAAACTGCCTGGTGTTGGTGTCCAAAAGTCTATTCCATCCAGCTCTCATTGTGAAACTTCTAAAATATAGCAAAGTATAGTAAATCAGTTCCTGATCAGTTCAAAGTATCCCACCAGCCCTAGCCATGTATTATGTTCCTGCATTACTGCTGGAAATTAGATTTCAAGGAGGAAGAATGGGGAGGAAAGATGCAAGTGCCCAATGGTACCAGACACATAAAATACTGAAGATGGTAAATGTTGTTGGCTCTCTTCTGTCCTGCTGGATGTGCAGAAAAAAAAAAAACAAGAAACTCTTTGGCCCACCAGAGATGCCAATAACCAGCACTATCCGAGTATACACTCTCAGAAGTAGCTTACTGTAGCAGAGTATGAAAGCACCAGTTCAGTTTAAGTATTGGCAATGCACTGACCACACTTGAATAAATTCACACTTGTTGATATCTTCCAAGTCCTTGGAGGTTCTTTATCATAGTTGCAGTATGTACAAATATGTACAAACACTCCTCAAAACTCCCACCAACTTATGCCATCTGTTGTAATATAGCTTCAATCCAACAATCCAACCAGCTCCAACCATCAACAACCCACTGTCTCCAAACTACTATCTTCAACCCACACATGCACTGAGTCTGGTGTGCGGTCTTCCTTTCTTTTTACTGGCTTCCATCTTTCCTAGCCTTATTGTCTTTTCTAATGAGTCATGGCTTCTCATGATGTGGCCAAAGTACAACATTTTCAATTTTGTCATCTTGGCTTCCAGGGAGAGTTCTGGTTTGATTTGTTCAAGGACCCATTTCTTTGTAGTTTGGCTATCTACAGTATCCTCAGCATTCTTCTCCCACACTATATCTCAAATAATTGATTTTTTAAATCTATTTGTTTTTTTAACTGTTCACCTTTTACATCCATACATGGTGATGGGGAATATGATGGCTTGGACAATTATGATATTGGTGTTCACTTGTATGTCTTTACTCTTTAGGAACTTAAGTAGTTATTTCATCGCTGCCCTTCCCATTCCTAGTCTTCTTCTTATGTCTTGGCTGCAAATCACCATTCTGATCAATGTTTGATCCTGGGTACGAGAACTCTAAATTTCTTTGAATTTCTTCACTGTTTAGGTTGGATTTATGTATTTCTTTCATGGTCATTTTTTTTTGTTTTCTTTATATTTTTGTTTTTTTATATTCAGCCTGAATATAAATATGCAAACCTATCTTTACACTTACATATTTGACCTTTCTCAGTAATTGCTCCAAATGTGTGATATCCTCCACTAGTAATGTAGTGTTGTCCGCATAGCTAAGATTGTTCACATTTCTTCCTTCTATCTTAATTCCTCCTCTTCTGAATTTAATCCTGCTTTTCTTATGACATTTTCTGCATATATGTTGTACAAATAGTTATCACCCTATCAGACAGACATGGCTAAAGCAGCTATATGAAGGGTTGCTCTATCTGGTGGACCATTTCTACATATATATGCATTTGAAGATCATGATGCCTAAATTCAGGCAGCTGCAGGAACCGCTAGTGAATTTGCAGAAGATGGTTGCAGTCAACATTCCTCTGAAAAACTGGGTGGGATGTGTTTGCTGAGGTCAGCCCATTCATTCAGTGAGAGGGAATTAAGTTTTTATTTCCCTACTGAACTACTAGACCTATGTAGTCTATGACCAGTGTATTTTATTATAAAAAACAAGTAGTGGAGACTTGTTGAAAATCAAACAATATGGATTAAAACATTAGAACATCAACTTTCCTCATTATTGCACTGTTATGACTATGTCTAACTCTTATAACTACAGTGGCCACGTCCTTTGCATCTAGCTATTTTAGCCTATTCTAGGATTTGTAGGGCAGGGTGCAGAATGTTAGTTATTTTCCTTTCCATAAATACAGCAAAAGAATACATTTCGACTATAATGGATGGGAGATCTCTCTCCCAGTACTGAGTCAAACTTGTTAAATTTTGTTCCTTATTTCTCCCTGATTGGTCCAGCAGCCTAAGCTAACAAAACAGGCCTGTTTCACAACTACTACACATTTTCATTACTTCCATTTGAGTCTAGACTTAAAACACCTCAATGGCAACAGCCATTAGAGAAAATATTTCATTGTACCTACAGTGGATCATTGAAGGATGGGATTAATTGCAAACAGTGGTATGAAACAAAGCGCCAGCATTGAGGTGGTGTGGGGGTGTGGTGACTGTATGCAACATGCCCTAACACCACCCGAAAGCCAGCGCCACGCCACCCTGCTGACTGCATAGCATCCTGCATAGGGACATTTCTGCTGCACAGCGTTTAGGCATGCTGTGCTGCAGAGATGCTGAAAAAATGCTGTTGTGGCTTTCTGCTGCTCCTTTTTGTGCCAAGGAAATTCCAGTTTGGGGCATGGCATATGGTTGCCATGTCCCCAACCCAGTGAGCAAACTGCTCTATCAGGGCCATTTGTTTTGCACCAGTGTTTATTCTAAAGGAATGCGGTAGAAGGACAAGCTGTTAGAAAAGACTCTGAAAATTCTGAAATCTACGCTTATTCCATTCCCTGAAATCTATACTTATTCCATTCCCATAACACATGCAATGACGACACTACAGGTCTATTTACACCACACACTTATACAGCACTGTCATTCCACTTTAACTGCCATTGTAACACATCCTATGGAATTCTAGGAACTGCAGTTTCGGAAAGAATATTTAGACTTCTGAGCCAGAGAGCTCTTGTGGATCACCAAACTACAAAATCCCAGGAGTCCATAGGATATAGCCATGATAGTTAAGGTGGAATATAGTGCTATAATTATGCAATGTGAATGGGTACAAAATTATGATGGAAGCAGTGAAACTATGTACTATCAGTGGACATTTCCAGCATGCATATCAGAGTATTTTTAATTATACAAATCAATACAAACCTCTTCTATATCATTATCCAAAGCTATGATTTGCAGTGGAGATGTCAGATTCTGATTGTGCGAGATAGTTGTACCCACAGGGGATGACTCCAGTATAAACCCTTCATATGTTGATTCTGTAAAATACGGTTTCTGGTTGTTTTCATCCAGAACTTCAATATGCAGATTGGCAAACACTGGAAGAGGGTGGCCATTGTCCTGTTCTGCCTGAAAAAGCAAAATATGAATTTGTTGCAATTTCCACTGCCACTTTCAACACTTGTTTATTTGTATTCTATAATAATCAAATGGCACTTAATATAATAAAAATATTTAAGCAGCTACTGTTAAGGCTTTATATCATAAAATACAAACCAAGGCAAAACAAAACAATCTAAAAGTAGTTTTAAAATGACAGTTTTTTAAAAATGAAAAACATTAGAAATGGATTAGGCACAATATATAAACAGAGAAAGGAACATAATTCTTCCAAGTAAAAGAAAGCCTACTTAAATAATTAAGTAAGATGTTAACAAGGCATTTAAAACTTCACAAACTTTCCAAATTACCCATCCTTTGGGAGAGTATCCCAGAGGATGAGTATTAGTATAGAAAAGTGTTATAAGTCGACCAGTGGCATTCTTTCAGTTGTGAACTAACCAAAAAACCATCCAGCAAAACTTTCAGGTATCATCATAAGTTGCTTTCAGTTTTGTAAAATATGGACTCGTGTTGTGGTAGAGCTGCATTTTATCATCTGATTTGTGCTCCTTCCTACTTTCAACAAGCTCCTTTTAATTCCTCCTTATTAACTGAAAGCTGGACTCAACACACAATCAATACTTTAGAATGACCAAAGAAAGAAAGAAAGAAAGAAAGAAAGAAAGAAAGAAAGAAAGAACAGGAGTGGAAGAGGAAATTTACTCCCAACTGAATAGTGTCATTCACGACAGCACAGAAAAATTAAAGTTCCCACTGGGGGATCTTGTTGGAGGGAGACCTGTTGCACATAACAAATACTTAAGATGAAGGATTGTAGATATAGATATGCTTACATAGGGGTAAGACACAGAGAAATAGTGGTCTTCTCATACATAGATAAAATAAATGGGCTCAGTTAAACAAAATATATTACTTTTGTATCAGATTTGTGTGGAACAGTGAGCTTCAGTAGCAAAGTTTTTCTCCCGTCTTCTGGAAATGAACAGGGAAACCTTGGATATTTTCCTAAAAAGTCCTGCACACAGTTTGACAAGTAATTCTATATCTAAACCAGGTACAAAATGATCTGAGACCCTCCTACGTGCTTGACACAGGTCCTCACTGTTTCCTCACTTATTAGGGGATGCTGCTGTTGCAGCCAGGATATACAGAATCGTTCAAGAAAGTTAGAAACCAAAGAGCTACACTACCCATGGCTCCAGCATTTTAGAATAGTTTTGCAAGATACTTGTTATCAGCATTACAACTTATATGGAGACCCGACTGTATTGGAGACTGAGTTTTAGATACTGATGCACTATCTTGGTGGGTTAGGAAACTGAGGACAGTAGTAGGGAGGGCCTCTGTCAAGCACAGAACTAAAATGGACTGAGTTATGTAGATGCAGCCCTAACATCAGTGGCTGAATATCACTATTTTGTGTTTTTTGGATGCTACTGTACTTTGCTATATGGCCAACAAGAGCCAGCATTGTATAGTGGTTTGGATGTTGGACTATGGCTCAGGAGACTAGGGTTTGATTCCCTGCTTGGGCAAGAAACCCACTGGTTAAATTTGGGCAAGTCACACTCTTCGCAGCCCCGGGGGATGTCAATGGCAACCCCCTCTGAACAAATCTTGCAAAGAAAATCCTGTGGCAGGTTTGTTGTGTTTGAGGCACTAGTGTGGTGTAGCGGTTTGAGTGTTGGATTAGTCCTCTGGGAGATCAGGGTTCAATTCCCCATGAAACCACAAAAATCCACCAGGCAACTGCACATATCAGCCTCAGAAAACAATGGCAACTCCCTCTGAACAAATCTTTCCAAGAAAATCCTGTGATAGGGTAACCATAAGTCAGAAATGACTTGAAGGCACACAACAACAATCAAAAAATGACAATATAAGTATATCTGCTAGTTATATCCCCTCTGCCAGTTCCCCCTCCTCTCCTTCCTTCCTCTCCTTCCTTCCTTCCTTCCTTCCTTCTCCTCCTCTATGCCCCCCTCATCACTGGCCACTTGCCCCTCTTCTTTCTCTTCCCTCCTCCACCTCTTCTATGTCCCCCCACTGTCTAACAGTTCCCCTCCCCTTCCTTCCTTCCTTCCTTCCTTCCTTCCTTCCTTCCTTCCTTCCTTCCTTCCTTCCTCCTCTTTCTTCTCCCTCCTCTTCCTTCCTCCTCCTCTATGCTCCCTGCCACTTGCTGGTCCCCCTCCTCTTCCTTCCTTCCTCCTCCTGCTTCTTCCTTCTCTTACCTCCCTGTCACCACCACCACTGCTGCTTTCCCTTCCTCTGACCAGAGGCTGTCTCCACCCTGCCTTTTCCACATTTTCATCAGCCACTGGTCAGAGGGAACCATCAATCATTGGGAAGGAGGACCAGGTGATTGATGGCCCCTTCTGATCAGTGGCTAATGAGAATGTGGAAGAGGTGGGGCAGAGACAGCCCATCCCAGCCGTGTGCCGACAGAGACGCCTCAGCATGCCACGTCTGGCACCCATACCATGCATGTGCCATCACAGCTATATGGCTTCTTTAAATTTTACCACTTGATGTAATTCTCGCCAATTGAAATTGTAAGAATAAAGAAAAAAATAACTGGCTGCATAACTACAGCAGACTCTTGCTGCTCTCATGGACCTCTACTCCACTAGGCGGACTCTGCCTTAACAGGGGAGTAGTATGTGCAGACTACTGCAGTCTGCCACATTTAACACAGCTCTTTCAATCATTTCTGGATGGTGATGGCTTCTGGTAGTGATGGCTGAGCGTTCGGCCACACTCACATGAAGCTCCTGTGAGACAACCATAAGAAGAAGGTGAAAGTGCCTGTTTTCCAGTAAATTGACAACAATCAACAACAAGAAAAGAGACAGGACAAATTGTCTCCTTGGCATAGGAGACTTGGAGGTGCTTTGCCGGGGTTATAGCATTGTGCCTAGTTTCCGATTGGGACTCCGGGCATGGACGGCAGAAGGAGAAGCTGATAGAGCGTGAACACAGCCACTTCTTATAGATGAATTGGCTTAGCTCAGCCACCACTGTTAATTTGAAAGAACTAGCAGAATACTAAGTAACAACCTAAAATATGAGAAGGTAAAGTATCTCTACTGTTCGGTGACTGTGATTGCTTTGTGGAGTCTAAGCACAAGCTGGGGAAACCCAGATGAGAGGAGGCATGCCTTTCTCCCAGAGGCAGTTTGAGAGGAGATGGAGATAGAGTGGATGGCAAGCATCGCAGCAGGGAAAATAGTGATGGAAGAAAGAAGAGAAAAGAGAAAACTACGGAGTGAAAAATGATTTTAAAAATAAATAATTATAATTCAGATTAAAGGTGGAATTTATAAACTTTTATAAATTTTTGGAATTGGAATTGGGTTAAAGTAGTTGACTGTGACCTTTGAAAAGACAATATGGGAGAGTTGTCAAGAGAGTGATCTAAACTTACATAAACTGGACTGGAGCAAGTGCGAAGGAGAGAAAGAAAAAGGAAATAAAAAATGAAGAAGAAACATTATTTGGGACATCTTAATAACCACTTAAATTTCACCTTATGGACATTATTATGGACACCATTACAGAAATCACGAACCCTTGATACTAGACTGGACTGCTACATAGAGAGAAAAATAGATATATGAAACATTAATTGGATACAAATGAAAATTAACAATAACTGACTTTATAGATTAAACAGACATAATTGGAAAGAAGAAAAGTGAAGAAAAGAAGAGAGGAAGGGGGGGGGGGAGAGGAAAATAACATTGATATTATATATATGTGGGACTGAGATACCAGAAAAAGAAACTAGGAAAAATAAGAAAATTTTGTTTGTGAGAATATATATATGTAAAGGTATTCCTCTTTGACAAGGTTGTCAAGTTGTCTCCAACCATAGGGGGCAGTGTTCATCTCTGTTACTAAGCTGAAGAGTCATGTTGTCAGAGACTACTCTGTGATCATGAGGCCAGCATGATTGCACAAAACACTGTTTACCTTCCCACTGAAGTGGTACTGATTTATATACATGCATATGCATGCTTTTGAACTGCTAGGTTGGCAGAAGCTGGGACTAGTGACAGGAGCTCACCTCCTCATGCAGCACCCGGGCCTCAAACTGCCAACCTGCTGATGTTGCAATCAACAGAGTCAGCATCTTAACCACACACACACACACACACACACAGTGATTTAATGAATGAATTAAAGAATAAGTTATTTTGAATTAACCCAAAATTAATTGCCTTATAGATATTATTAATTAACCTGCTCAATTGTTCAATAGCATAAGTTTTTCTGCTTTAAGTTTAGTGTTTGTTTTATACTGCCATATATTGTTTTATTTAATACTTTTTTCTCAATAGATTATATTAATAGTAGCCAAGCAAACAGTGGAATAACATTGTTTTATTTGGTAATTTTGAATAGATTAGGAATAAGGTAGTGGGGGGAGTTCTTGAAACTTAGAATAAGTAAGTAATTATTAGTGACTGCCTCGGCAGACGGCTCAATTGAGCCGTCTCCGAGGCCTGGAAGAGGAGGGGCCACCGCACGCGCGGCGGCCCTTCCTCTTCCTGAGGTCGCCCTGAACGCTTCCGGGTCACCGCATGCCGGACGCGTTCAGGGCGACCTCCCTCCACAGCGTCCGGACACGCTGTGGAGGATAAGTCGCAAAAAGGGCGCCCGCCGCTTTTAGGGTGCCCTTTTTGCGACTTATGAAAGGAGTGCCTTTTTGGCGCTCCTTTCAGGGCCGCTCTAGGAGCGCCGCGGTGGGGCTGCCATAGCCCCGCGGCGCTCCGGACCAGGGCATCCCAAACGCCCTGGTCTGCAGAGGGCCTGAAACTCCAGTGAAGGTATTGTACCAAGCAATTGTAGGTTTGATATATTTCTCTCTATAATTGTAAATTTGATATATTTCATTCTATATTCTATGTTTTCATTCAGGTAAAGTAGATTTCAAACCTACAAGTCAGAACAAACAGAAAGGAGGCAATAGATAAGAGAAGGGTGTCCTTGAAGCTTTGACTTGGAAAGTTAGCAACTGATATAGAGTGTAGAATAAATTTGGCAGTGTGCCAATATAATTTAAAATTCATTGCACAGCTGCTTAATCAGGTGGGAAGCACTATAAACTGGGACAGTACCTTTTGAATTGCTAATTGCTAACTTTATTTATCTTTTTCCCTTTGAAGCATGATTGTGTATTGGAGGTGAGAATGACAAGGTGTGTGGTAAGAGTGCCACCTGGTGCTAGAAGTTAATGTGAAGTAAAAAAGAAACTCATTTAGTAAGTATTTTAAGAAAGAGAGTTTCTATTAGAATGGGTTAAATAAAAAAGAGAGAGAAGGAATTGATCAAAATTTAATTTTTTTAAAAAAATAACCATAAATTGGGATAAAAACTTAAACTTATTCAGTTAGAATAATTTTTAACATAATTAAGTGAATAAAGGAATTTTTAGTTACATTATACAACAACTGATTGGAGGGATAGGGGTCTATGGGAGAAGTAACAAATATATTGGACACAAAGGCAAAAAAAGAGTAAACAGGAAAAGTATTGATAACTGAGTTAGATTAAAGAAAAATAATTTAATAGGGAGACAGTTAAATAGAGAGACAATGGAGATGAGACCCAGAAGAGTGATTACCCAGACAGTCCAGCTACAAAGACAGAGAAGGAACTCTACTGAATTATACCATAAAAGTGCAGAACTTAATGCTTGAATTTTTGAAGAGATAAAGAAAATGGAATAGGAGTTATGTAAAGAAATCAGAATGGAGATGAAAGAGTTGAGGGGGAAAATAAGAATGAATTTAAGGAAAGAATTAGATGATTAGATGATTAACTGTATTCGGTTAAAGATGTAAATCAGAATAAGTCAGATATAAAAGAATTGAAGGAAAAGCCAAAAACAATGGGAAAAAGTGTGTCTTCTAGAATATAAAATTGAAAGAGAAACAGCCATGACTAAATAAAGAGAGATAAAAATAGAAATAAATGTATAAAAATAAGAGGACAAAGGGAAAGCCCAGACAAAGATCTCTACAACAAAATTATACTGGCACTGGCAGATTACATAGGTTGGGACACTGAGCAGCTGGATCTCAAGGTTAATAAGGCATTCTGATTGAATTCCAGAACTGCAAGAGAAAGAAACTTACTACAAGATATCGTAGTTTATTTTGTAAGGGAAAGAGTTAAGGAAATAGTACTACAACAAAATTTTATACATAAACTATGAATAGAAGATGAAGAAGTGCAAATATTTAAAGACATATCACAAAGTGCATTGAGGAAAAGACGAGAATATAATTTTATAACTCAGCTATAAAGAAGAAAAGGAATTGTGTTAGTGAAGCATTAGATAACATCACTCCTAGAAACATGGTGCTATAAACATTGAAAAGAAAAAGAATTCACTTTCTACTCAGAAAGACACCAACCCTAGTCTAGGATTGACATGTTTTTTGTATCCAAAACCTTGTTAAAATACAAAAAGAACTGAAATTCTCTTCAAAATAACTTCAGATCATAATCCAATATTTTGGACTTTATT